TAATACATTAGGTATAAAAATTTAGTTAATTATGTTAAGTTTTAAATTAAAACAAGATTTTATTGTTTTTAATTTAAAACTTAACATAATTAACTAAATTTTTATACCTAATGTATTAACATACTCTCTCATTTGTTATCTGTTTCATGATATTTAGCAAGAAATTTTCCAAACTAAAGACACCAAAAATAGTACAGATATTCAAGACGTTAAGCTTACCAAAACTGGAATAGTGTTTATATTTCATATGCCTCAACAATGCAAGCTCATGGTGTTTAAACATCAGAAGAAGACTTTTAATAATATTCCTTATTTGCAGCTTGTAGCAAGGAAAGCGTACTAATAACATTTTGTTCCTTTTAAATCAACTTTTCTTGCTTTTTACTCAATCATAGAATTTCTATCCCAGATTAAGTGCAAACTAAAATGAAGAGTATTTTACAATTAAAGATGACTTACGATGTATCAGAATGTAGTCTTATTTTATAGATGTTTACTTAGATACAGGACAACATGGCTCAGTAGCTTTGACTTATAGTTGGATGGTTGTGAGTTCGAGGCTGGCCTGCATCACACTGTTGTTTCCTCGAGCAAGACGCTTTATCCCTATTGCTTCAGCTTATCTAGCTGTATGATCAATACCAGCCGTTGGCTGAGGGCTCACCTGTGATGTACTGCCATCCAACCCCAGGGGAATGGGTCACCAATTTCATCTGCTTGTACTACTTGAGACCAGAGTTCAAAAGCACTGGTCCTATGTGCCTTGCAAAGGCACGATAAGGATTTAATTTTTATAATTGGATATCTACAACTAAATACATAACATAACATTTTCGTGATTAGCAAGCTAAAGATTTAGAGCCAATATCAATGAGTTGAGACTGTTTGGCTTTAATAATTAATTTACAGATACAATTCTGTGTGTCATAACTAGATTTTTTAAGCTTTAGAGTACTGATTATATATTGGGATTAGTTTAGAGGAACAATTAGAACAAGTAACAGCATTCAATGACGAGAAACCCACTTTGAGACTAATAATGGCTGGAGACGGCTTGAATGGGTAATGAAGAAAAACTTTAATACCTGATGATGACAAAACCTTGTCGAAATGTTGTACATTTGCTGTTATATTAAACTTATATTAAAGTTTTTCTTCATTACCCATTCAAGCCATCTCCAGCCATTATAAGTAACAGCATTGTTTAAAATTTACTTTACTAGAAAGTTTAGTTCATATTGTCTGTTATTTGAATTTAAGGAATGTCACATGTAATATTGTTCAAGATGTAAAACAGTGTATTATATGGACGATTTATTTAGGAGGAAGAAGAAGAGGTGGAAAAAGAGCAACAAGCACGAGATTCTGTGGGTGGACAGAACAGTGAGGAAAAGGAGAAAAAAGAAAAGAGGAAACAAAGAAAGAAGAAACAAATTGATCAAGAAAGTGACCAAGCTGGGCCTAATAAAATGGACACTTCCTTGATAAATCATGCATCGGGTTTAAGGGCGTAAGTTTTTATACTGAATCGACACTGTATAATCTAGAATAACAGTTATTGTAGTTTTTGACAGTTACAATGTCTTTCTAAGTATTCACCCACCTGCAAAATTTCCATATTTTGTTGCTGTCTGAGCTTTTCAAACTTTCAAATGGTACTTTATATTTAGAATCTACACAATCTATTCCAAACTGAGAAAGCTAAAAAAAATGGTGATATTATGTACTCTCAATTGCATAAGTATTCAACCCCTTTGCTAAATCAGTTCAGGTGCAAAAGATTAGTTTGAAAGGTCACAAACTTAGTGTAATGGTCTCTGCCTGTGTGTAATCAAAGTGATTTAACTTGACTTCAGAGTAAATGTATCTGTTCAAGCCACAACTCACATAGCGATACGACAAACCAACCATGAAGACCAAGGAGCTTTCTAAACAAGTCAGGGATAAAATGGTAGAGAAGCACAGATCAGGAGAAGGTTACATGAAAATTTCAAGGTTGCTGATTATCCCTTTGAGTACGGTGATGTCCATCATTAAAAAGTGAGATGTGCTTCATACCACCCAGTAACTACCATATCAGGCTGCCCTTCCAAACTAAGCAGCCAGACAAGCAGGAAACTGGTTAGGGATGTTACTGTGAAGACAATAGTGACTTTGAAAGACTTGCAAAGTTCAATAAATCGACAATATCCCAGTCCCTACAAAAAGCTGCCCTCTATGGGCAAGAGCATGTAAATGATACTGCAGACATTTGGCAGAAGGTTTTGTGACCAAACAAGAAAAAATTTAGCTTTTTGGTCTAAATTCAAACCATTACATTTGGCACAAGCCTAACACAGCACATCACCCAGTCAACACCATCCAGTCAACATCACCCAGTCAACACTATCCCAACTGTCAAGCATAGTGGTGGCAGCATCATGTTATGGGGATGCTTCTCATCAGCAGGGACTGGGAAGTTTGTCAGGATTGAGGGGATGATGCAGAGTAAGATGAATCTTAGAGGAAAACTTGCTTCAGTCAGCCAAGAATCTAAAACTGGGTCGAAAATTCACACTTCAGCAGGACAATGACCTGAAACACAAAGCCATATCCACACTGGAGTGGTTTCAAAGGAAGAAAGTGAATGTCCTGGAGTGGCCCAGTCAAAGTCCTGACTTGAATCCAATAGAAAATTTATGGCTAGACTTGAAGATTGGAGTCATCAACGATCACAGCAGTAATTGCTGCCAAACGTGCTTCCATCAAGTACTGAGTTAGAGGACTGAATACTTATGCAATCGGCAAATTTCAATTTACATATTTTCTTTGCAGGTTTTACTGACATTCAACCTCCTTCACATATAGCAGTGTTAAGTTTGATCAGCTAACATTCAACCTTCTTCACACATAACTGTTAAGTTCGATCAGCTAACATTCAATCTTCTTCACACATAACTGTTAAGTTTGATCAGCTAACATTCAACCTTCTTCACACATAACTGTTAAGTTCGATCAGCTAACATTCAATCTTCTTCACACATAACTGTTAAGTTTGATCAGCTAATATTCAACCTTCTTCACACATAACAGTGTTAAGTTTGATCAGCTAACATTAAACCTTCTTCATATATAACAGTGTTAAGTTTGATCAGCTAACATTCAACCTTCTTCACACATAACTTAAGTTTGATCAGCTAACATTCAACCTTCTTCACACATAACTGTTAAGTTTGATCAGCTAACATTCAACCTTCTTCATATATAACTGTTAAGTTTGATCAGCTAACATTCAACCTTCTTCATATATAACTGTTAAGTTTGATCAGCTAACATTAAACCTTCTTCATATATAACAGTGTTAAGTTTGATCAGCTAACATTCAACCTTCTTCACACATAACTGTTAAGTTTGATCAGCTAACATTAAACCTTCTTCATATATAACAGTGTTAAGTTTGATCAGCTAACATTCAACCTTCTTCACATATAGCAGTGTTAAGTTTGATCAGCTAACATTCAACCTTCTTCACACATAACTTAAGTTTGATCAGCTAACATTCAACCTTCTTCACACATAACTGTTAAGTTTGATCAGCTAACATTCAACCTTCTTCATATATAACAGTGTTAGTTTGATCATTAGTTTTTTTAATAAGAACACTTTCATTAAAAAATTGTTTACATTATTTGTATTTCATCAAAATGTGACATTATTGGTAGGGGTGAATACTTCTGCAAGGCACAGTATTTTCAAGTAATTAGTAGTGAATATCTCCCAAGTTCCTTTTTCAACATATTAAATTGTCATCAACTAGCTACCATTAGTTTCTGAATAAGTTGTTATTTTCACCACATTGGAACACACTCACCAGAAAATCTATTCTTACACATATAAACTGAGTTGTTATTTTCACCACATTGGAACACACTCACCAGAAAATCTATTCTTACACATATAAACTGAGTTGTTATTTTTTATCAATGTAAAGTTCACACTACACAAGAAAGCTGGTGTTTAATTCCAAGATTTTAATGTAAACATTACACTTCACTGTTGTTAATAATTTGCTTCTCTTGACTTCCATCCTATCCTTAATCTTTTCTTTAGAGCAACAGTTTATCCCATTTTCTCTGTATGATTATTTACAATAATTTTAAAATACCACCCCATACATCTTCATAATTTGCCATTGAATTCATCTTGGGGTAAATGAAGTCTAATAATAAAAATGAAGATGGTTGATATGATGAATGAAAACAAAACATCACCCTGCTCTTAACGGCTTACAAAATTGAGAAGTCTTTCAATTTTCAAAGAAATAATTCAAAGGGTGAAAATTTTTTTTAAACAAAATGGAGGTGGGGTAGAACATGGAAAATTTTAGGTCTCTAGCTAAAACTTTTTTTCTCAGCATGACTTAGAAAGTAGTCAGAAAAATTGTGAATTACTTTAAATGGATTTTTTCAAATATAATTTATATTTATAATTTGATCTCTCATGCAATTTGAAATTTTGTTACTTCTGTTAAGTATTCTTTAATCTGTACAGTTCCTTCCTTTTACTTTTTTACTGAATATTTTAAGTAAATTAGTTATTGATGTCATCATAACAATAGCTGATAAATATAATTATAATAGTATTTCCCGATTTCGTTGAAGGTAGAATAATTGTATTCCAAAACATTTGAAGCCTTCCCAAATAAAAATGTTTTTCATCTTATCAATTGTCTTCATCTTTATCATTAATCTTCATAATTTCATGAAGGATCACTTGATGGTGAGCATTTAATGTTAGGATTCTTGAATCAAATTCTCTAGACACAAGTGTCAAAAATCACAATACCTCATCTTTAGCCCTTTCGGTGCTGAATAAAAATTATAATTATGTCACATCTTTGAATATATTTTCCACATTTTCCACAAAGATGAAAAAACACTATCTTATATACTTGAAAGGCAATTATAGAAGAACTACATACACAAGATATTGACACAAACTTTTCACACAATCAAGCCAAACGGACAAGGGGTTATGACGACAAATGTTGCCAGCTTGATGCTGAAAGGGATAAGGAAATTTATTCCATTTTACTCAAAGTAAAAAACAGACTTCATGCTCTGAATCTACATGTTCTTAGTAGAAAAATTTTAAAATTCATTATACTAGTAGCAATAAAAGGAACATAATTTCTAACTTTTTTATTTAATTATTTTTCGAAACGTAAGATATTTTATCTCATACATTCTTAGAGCTTTTTCAGTAAAATTATGTAATGCTTTCTCAAGAAGACATCTTATTAAATCATTTGAAAACTTTATCATAGGTGTTGAGCTTTTTCTCCAGAGAAATCCCCACTAATTTTACATTTCATCATCTTTGGCCTGGCCAAATCTTTAAGCCTTTACATATCTTATCATTTGAAATAGCTATTAATTATTTTTGCTCATAAAACCACTGTCAGAAATGCCCTTGAAAATGGTGAATATATCATCAGTTTGTCATTTTTTCCATCATTTCCAACACTGCGAAGAGTGAAAAAAGAATCTTCGTGCTTTCAACATATTCCACCTTATGTATTTCTGGTTTCTTTGTTTTTCTATGGAAATTTTTGAATACGGTACTCCTAATCTTTTTTATTATTATAAGTTTTTTAAACCTAAAAAATTTGATTATTTAACATGTTTTTGTAGACATATAATGTATAGTTGTGATGAATATTTGTTATTAAAATACTATTTATTATTTGTAAAACTTTTTTATTTCTAACTAAGGAAAGATTTCTATGACACTTTCTGAAAAGTTACCTTTTAAACTGGAACAAGCCTTTTGTCTTATATGGCCAAAAATATGTTTTAAAGGATTTATTAGTCCAATATCAAAAGATAGTTCAAATTATGAATATTATGCTTTAGAACCTATATTATTCATCTTATTTAACATAAACAATTTTGATGTAAAGCAAGATTAATGATTAGTCAAAACTTTTTCCATGTATGTCTTTTTTCTGTATTTATATTAATTAGCTTTTCTAATGAAAACTAAAACCAAATTTTTTTTTCCAGTTTACATTTATTGATTTACATTAAAATCAGGTTTTCATCAGAGTATTTTAACAAATTGATTTTGTTTTCTTTTATTTTAGTTCCAAGGATAAAAGTGTAAGTGTTATCAAGATGTTATTATATAAAGAAATACAAAAACATTTACACTGTTTCAATCTTAACAAATACAAGTTTTCACAATACGTGCTTGAACAGAAAAATAAATTTAGTGTGGAACTATTTTTAAAAAACAAAAAAAGTAGAAGTTGAAATAAATTAGCTTAGACGATAGTTGCACGTCAAAGAGAAACATACATCAAAGTCCACGCATTTAAAGACTTTCCTGCATTTTCTAATTTATAAAATAAAGGAAAATTTATCTTATGATTAAAGGTTGTTCTTTTAATTTTCAGTTATTTGCATAATTTCAAATATATTTTACTTGCTTTTTGAAACACATTAAAGATCCTCTAGTAAATATATCTTTTTTTTTTACCTTCTCCCCTTTTGTGTACAGATATTATAAATATTTTTGTATCAATTAGTTTTTTATTGTACTTTGTTTTAGGGAATTTTAGTTTCCATTATTTACAAAAATACCAGTTTTTGTGTGTGTAACTATTTAATTGTTATGTTTTCGAACTGAAATTACTTAAATTCTAAGTTGAATGTTAATTTTTTGAAGGCTCACATTCAAATTAAAGTAGACGAAGGAGAAGCTGATGAAGGGACAGCAAATGATTATGGTAATTTTATATTTTGTTAATTAGGTTATATTTTAAACATATTTTCTACGTTTTTAGTCATGGCATAGCAGCTCATAGAATGGCTCTTAGTTTTTTTTCAAGTACAAACTTTTAGCGCATATCTCCATCATCTCTTGACCGATCTCTTCTTTAATACATCTAGTTGTTTAGACTGTAACTGAACATGTTCGTCCTTATATATGTAAGATACCAACGATCTTTTATAAGGTTATAGTTTAACTTCATGTGCTTTAATACGTCTCTAGCTTATAATACTTTTTTCTTCTAAAATTAGATATTATTTGAAAATATATTTAGTCATTAATAATCCTTTACACATTATTTGATTATGCTTGTGGTCAAACATGTCTACAAATGTTTGGACTTTTTCATCACTTGGTATTGTAGTATATATTTAGTCATTAATAATCCTTTACACATTTTTTGATTATGCTTGTGGTCAAACATGTCTACAAATGTTTGGACTTTTTCATCACTTGGTATTGTAGTATATATTTAGTCATTAATAATCCTTTACACATTTTTTGATTATGCTTGTGGTCAAACATGTCTACAAATGTTTGGACTTTTTCATCACTTGGTATTGTAGTATATATTTAGTCATTAATAATCCTTTACACATTATTTGATTATGCTTGTGGTCAAACATGTCTACAAATGTTTGGACTTTTTCATCACCTGGTATTGTAGTTTGTGATGACTGAACGTCTCCCTAAATGATAATTGAGTAACATTCTTTACCCACATTGTAATCTGTCTGCTCATTGGATGATAATTGAGTAACATTCTTTACCCACATTGTAATCTGTCTGCTCATTGGATGATAATTGAGTAACATTCTTTACCCACATTGTAATCTGTCTGCTCATTGGATGATAATTGAGTAACATTCTTTACCCACATTGTAATCTGTCTGCTCATTGGATATCTCTTCATATGTATATATCATATAAAATCTTCCATGTACATTTTAGATTAGGTAGTTAAATGCACCTTTAGATATTAATGATCTTTCACCTAGATTATTGTGTTAGATAACCTATCTAAGATAAATATCTCTTTATTTTGAACCTTCTGTCTGTTTTTCAAACTGTTTGTTTAAAAGTTTACTTAAGTTACGTATGCTAATGTTTATTGATCATTTTTGAAGAAGAGCATGAAGACGATGATGAATATGTTGATGGTGAAGAGGAGGAAGATGAACAGGATGATGTAGGAGAAGAAGAAGAAACTACTACTGTTTCCACTGCCCGTCCACGTCGTCTTTCAGAAATCAATATCCCAAAAAAGGTCCATCCCATCCCCAAGTACTCATCATTTTTTATCTTTTCTCATACAAACAGGTGAGTATTTTTAGTTTAAACTGATTAAAAACAATCTTATTAAAGAAGATTAATGGAAGAAAATATCACAGAGTATTGAACTTCTTTTTATATAAATTCTTAAATGCTCACTGTAGTTTATTTTTGTATTCTTACTCTTCTTTAGGCACATTACTTGATTATTTGGGTCTCTAAGTTTTCGTTTGCTTAATAAGATGTCAAACTAATAATAAAGAGTAGAGCCATGGCAACAATTGTCATCATCTTTAATAGTTTGAAAGATTTGTAATTAAAGATATTCCATCATCAGTAAATGTATGAGAATAATCAATAGGAAAAATTAATATTCAATACAATTAACTAACATGAAAATACCATGACATTGTGTTATCATATTAAAATATTCAATTAAAAGAAGCTATTTGAACAAAGCATGGAGAGAGAGTGTTGGTATTTCTGTTAAGGCTTGGGTTTTCATTCATAATATATAAACTTTCTTTTATAAAAAGTTTGTACTCATTACAACTTATTCTCTTACCAACCTACGTTCTTCACAGTAGTCCTCTACTCTAATGCATCGAAGGAGCTCTCATGTGTAACGTTTTGATGATGTATGTGGTATTTTTTTAATACAACAACTTTTGTTTAAGTAATGGGCATTATACATATCAAAAGATACAATTTTCCATTGTGAATGACATATATTCGTGATTATTATTAAAACTATATCAAATGATTTTTGTTAACAAGAGAAAAATCTGACACTGCTTGAATGCCTCTTGACAAACTTTCAAATGAATAATGGCTGGAGACGGCTTGAATGGGTAATGAAGAAAAACTTTAATACCTGATGATGACAAAACCTTGTCGAAACATTGTACATTTGCTGTCATGTGAAACTTATATTAAAGTTTTTCTTCATTACCCATTTAAGCCATTATTAATCTCAAAGTGGGTTCCTCGTCATCGAATTTAAACTTTCAAATGCTTAGAACTACCCTTGTATTCCTTGATAGTGAGCAAACCTTCTATTAAAGTAATAGTTATATTCGTCTGGAGCAGAACAACATGTAATCATTGATGTGATAATTACAGGTTTCGTGTTTTCTGTCATCATCTCGTCAACCATACTTACTTTGGTAACGTCATCTTACTGTGTATCATGATTAGCAGTGCAATGCTAGCTGCTGAAGATCCTCTCCATGCCTACTCTGATAGAAACCAGGTAAGTTATGTAATAGATTTTCACACAGAACTTTTATCAAGTTGTCGAGCGAATTTCTTAGAGCTCATTTGTTATTTTGCTTTTTGCTATGATTTTTTAAGATATCACATTACCTACCGTGAAATTACAAATGAGAAATAGGAACTGCAAGCCTCACCCATGGTTTATTTCAGCTAAAATAAATCAATAAATTAAGTTATGACTCTATACCATCCAGTTATATGTAACACAAAAATAAGGATAAACTTTCTGTATTCCAGAAACCAGCAAGAGTTGAATGATTACAAAAAATGAGGGAGAAAGTACTACCACCCCCACCCCTTAGTATACCCTAACCTCACATTTCATAGATAACTGAAATATTTATAAATTTTCTGAAATCAAGTTTGACCAACAAAGAGGCTGAAAAGTGTAGTCGAGGCAGTCAAACGTCGGTAAACTCCTTTGTGAACCAATCAAAATTAACACCATTCATGAAAGGAATTCGTGACGTATTCATCGAATAATTATTGGTAAAAATCGGTTAGATTAACAACTTCTAATATATAGAAAAGCCACTGTGCAGATGTCATCTACCAGTTTTTTTGTTTGTTTGTTGGGGGAGAGGGGGGTATTTTCAGACCAACTACCCTATTGGATCATTAGGCCACTTTGCAATGCTACCAGTTGGTTATTTGGGCTTTAGGCCTATCGACTGCCAGGGTCATTAAGGCCGTAAATGTGTTGAGACTCCTCACCATTAGTGAGGATGTGCGCAGCTGGAATAATGAAGTGTGCAGCACTTGATTAGTTGTCGTACGGCCACTGAACTTAGAGGGAGCACTCATCACCTCTGCTGCTAAATGTTTTGTAGTGGTCCCATTTTCTACATTTTGTATTAGCAGTATCAGATGTGGTATTTCTCTTGTTGCCATGTGAGTGGTTAACCAACCTTAGGAAATAGTTAGCCCACTTTATAACAACACAAGCTGTTGTAAGAGTGCAGAATCCTACTGCAGACTTATCACGTGTGTCATTATTAAAATATAGCATGTATTCATTACTTTGAATAATATGCTCTACAAACACTATGTATCCATATAGGTGATAGTAGCATACTCATCATATTATATGGTACACAAAGATTCCATGTCTGTTTTGAAACATAAGTGCATAACAATAGCATACTATCATAATGTGAGACCAGTTCCCATACAGAAACTGTATGTCTATGAAATTCTTGGATAAATTTTATATTCAAGTAATATAAACAGATGAATATACTCATTGTTTATATAATAACCCAAAAATTTTATATTCAAGTAATATAAACAGATGAATATACTCATTGTTTATATGATAACCCAAATATTTTATATTCAAGTAATATAAACAGACGAATATACGCATTGTTTATATGATAACCCAAAAATTCTATATTCAACTAATATAAACAGATTAATATACTCATTGTTTATATGATAACCCAAAAAGTTTATATTCAACTAATATAAACAGATTAATATACTCATTGTTTATATGATAACCCAATTCACTGACTGTGAATTTGTTAACTCACAAACTTAAAATCTTTTCTAAATGCTAGTATATGTGTTCGCTCCTGATAACCGTTGTAATATTCTTTGGTATATGTGTTAGCTCCTGATAACCGTTGTAATATTCTTTGATAGATTGTTTAGTCAGAGTATTCATGATGAGTAAACTGAAATGGACGGCAATTGCCTGTTATAAAAACACAAGTGTAGAAGACGACGTTTCAAAAGTCTTCTGTCTTCTGATTGTGAGTCGAGTGCCCTAACTGCCAGGACACACTGAACTGCTATCACAGACTGGTTTACCTAGATTATACATATAATAAATCTATAGTAACAGTAACAAGTTTATATGCATCATGTGTACTTAGATGCTGATGTTGCTATACCAACAGAATACTGTGTTATTACCATGACTACATTTAATCACCCACTAAGGAAAAACACAAGTAGGTGTGGGAAAACAATTGGCAGAGTTTTGATATTAACTGTGTATAAATGTTTTTGTAGTTGAATGTCCCCAAGCAGGTTTAAGGACTTACAATGTAAGTACCCGATGGTTCAATTACCCGTAGTGGGCAGAGGGTAGATAGTCCAGTAGTTGAAAGTTATACTTACCCGACTTTTAACGATATGGTGTTAAGTAGGATTAGTACATAACAGTACTGTAAAACTATGCCTACCGTCTGCTTATGATATTATTAACTTATGGAATTTTATGTTATTTCTAAGAACAATGCTTAATTGTCTTTATTTCTTTTTGTGTGGACAGATTCTGAACTACTTTGATTACTTCTTTACCAGTGTCTTCACTATTGAAATTACATTAAAGGTAGGCAGAGATCTCAGTTATTACTTTTACAGAACAGAATTTCAAATTATAGTATTTTGGCACTTGTATATAAAGTTAAAATCATAAATAATATTCAACGCTAAACTGATACACAATTAAAAACATTTTATTTAGGCCTATCTATGGCCTTCAAAAAGTTGACGACACTACATGTTTTGACGTTACTCCTGAGGATGATGTTGTAACCTCGAAACATGTAGAGTCATCAACTTTTTTGAAGACCATAGATAGGCCTAAATAAAATGTTTTTAATTGTGTACCAGTTTAACGTTGAATATTAGTTATGATTTTAGAATTTCAAATGTTTAATTTTTCATAACT